AAAGTACAAGACATCAACATCGGTGTACCGAACTACTTACCTATTACAATAAAGTACAAGACATCAGCATCGGTGTACCGAATTACTTACCTATTACAATAAAGTACAAGACATCAGCATCGGTGTACCGGACTACTTACCTAATCTTGTAACATTATAGGTATTCTGTCAACAACTTGAAACTGACGATAACAGAACTCAACTTAATTCCAACACTTACTGTAGTCATAGAATAAAACAGCCACTCTAAGACCCGGGACATGTTGACGATTAATTCGTCATATGGTGACAAGATTCCAGAGTTCACGAATTACTTGTACACAGAACAAGAAATAACCTCCCGTTCTTAGACATGATAGTTGACATGACAACATAGATGTAACTGGTAATGAAGAGACACCACTTTTCTTTATGCACTCCCAGAGTGATCAAATAAAAGAAGTAGCCAGCTTTGAAGTTCTGGTTACAATATCACTGGGGTTTTCTTTTTCGATCCCATTTTGTGTTTTTACTGCATAGCATGCTATGAAATGAAAATGTTTATAACAGCGTAAGATATGTGAATATGTGTCAGTGAACTTTCCTCTAACTAAATACATAGTTCTTAGGTAATAAGAATGTTAAATATCAACAGATCAATCCATGATGTAGAAACAGGAACTTAAAAAATATACCCATTAAAGATGAATTCATGAACAACGAAATACAGTCACTATAGATAAACCCATGAACAACTAACTATAGCCACTATAGATAAACCCATGAACAACTAAATACAGCCACTATAGATAAACCCATGAACAACTAAATATAGCCACTATAGATAAACCCATGAACAACTAAATACAGCCACTATAGATAAACCCATGAACAACGAAATACAGCCACTATAGATAAACCCATGAACAACTAAATACAGCCACTATAGATAAACCCATGAACAACTAAATATAGCCATTGCAGATAAATCCATGATGCAGGAACTCAATATATTTATTTGTTTTAGGGCAAGGCTACACCGTTATCTATTTAAGCTGTGTCCGTCGCAGAGATCGAAACCCGAATTTTAGTGTTATAAACACAAAAGATTACCACTGAGCCATCGAGGGTCTTCAACTAATAAAAGCCTTTATAAAATGTAGACTTCCCTTCATTACCCCTAATAAATACGAACCTTACACAATGAACTGAGTTCCCTTTTTAGGCCAAATAGACTTCTAGTATGATTTAAATGCTACTTACCAGTTTTATTCTATGGCGCAGAAGCTTTCGGGGTTTGCTATGACTTTCTTCTGGCTTGCTTAGTGAAAAACTGGTGCCACATCTTAAATACAGCAGATATTCCACCACTTTTCTTCAAATAACTGTGGAGATCACCACGTGATCTGCAAGGGATGTAGGAAAAGCCAATCAGAAAGCTCTTCTCCATCAAAGAAAGCTGATTACACTTTCTAGAAAACTAGAATAGAACAAGGTAAAGTTTTTTTCTTAAACAAGTTTCTGATAAAGTTATTTAGTTTATGTTCTAGTTTACAAAATAATGGAGTTTAAGTTCTAATGGAAACTACGATTCTTGTAAATATATATCTCCCGCGGTTCATACTCATGGTGAAATTAATTTGGAGAAGTAATTTAAATAAAAGTTAATTAGGTAAGAATAAATATATGTATAGAATTTTAAAAACTTTAGGTGAAAAAAGAATTAGATTTTAAAATTTTCTAGCTCAAGAAGTTTTACAAAACTCAAAATAATATTTAACTATTTGTAGTTAAGATTGTATGTCATAATACCTTAACCAAGAACTGTCGCTTCGACGACAGAGACATCTCGCTGAACGAGAACCAGATAAGTGTGTTTCTGGTACTTGTTGAGTCTTAGTGCATAAGAAACAAATAACTCACAATGTTTCGTTTTCCTTTAGAGATCCTCACTTCCAAACTTCGAAAGAATACTTTTATATGTATAAAGATTTTCACTATCCTCAATACCACCCTGAAAGAATTGTTTATTCGTAGTTTAAGCACAAAGCTACACAAGGGGCTATCTGTGCTCTGTCCACCACCGCTATCGAAACCCGGTTTCTAGTGATGTGAGTCCGCAGACATACCGCTGTGCCACTGGGGAATTTTAATTTGATGTTAACATGACTTGATTTCTGATAGACGACTTTTTATTACTAGTTGAACTTTCATATCCGCACAGCGAATTTCTGACAACTATAATATTCATAAAACAAATTTTTGTCAGATTTGTATTTACTTTATCAGTGAATTTATGCAAATTCTTTGGTTCTGACAGTTTACTTAAATATTGTGAACAAAAATACTGTTTATTTTAGAGAAATGTAAATAAAGATAGGAACTTGTGAGAGAAATTTCATTTAGCATACCATTAATTTTAATTGAAAGTTTCATAATGATCAAGTTTAGTGTATAATAACAGGATAAACAAATACTGTAGTACTTCGTTAATCAACTAGTAATTAACTGACTGTAGTTAATTCAATACACGTGGTAACACCGATCTTAATCAGTTGAGTCTCTTACGAGCCACGCAAATTTGCTTCTTTCTTAGGCTTTATATCTTTCATCAAATCTATAATTCCTCACCTTAGCGTAAGAAAGGACTAAAAACAATTAGCGAACTGTTCGCTACAGTAGTAGACAGTTTTCCAGTTCAACAGACACTAGATCTGGTGATAAAATTAGCTACGGTGTACTAGAAGACGTAGCACGAAATTCAATTTCAGGTGTTTACTTTCGTTCGCCATTTTAATCAATCAAAATAACTTTGTTCTATACTGAGAGAATATGCAAAGTCGACATTTAATGAACGTATCTTCCTAAATAGGTTGTTTCTTTTAACAACGTATCATCATTTTTACGCTACTTCTTTTTGAACGTACATTAAATCAAAAAATAAACATTAAACAAAATGCATAAACTTGCATAAATGAATGGAAATGAAAACTTTTTAAGTAACAATACGGTAACAAAATCTGAACGACAACTATCACTTGAATCTGCTTGAAGTTGAGTTTAAGAAACTACAGTTATTGAAAAAAGTATCTTTTAAATTGGTCTGAAGTTTTTCAATCAAGAAAAATTAGTGGGTTCTGTTACGTTAAAATAATCAGTTATCTACAAGGGTAAGAGTCAGACTAACTCAGCATACCACAATAAACAAGTTATTTGCATCGGAAACCGTGTCAGGTTAAATCAGTATATTAAAATAGATTAGTTATCTACATCGGTAACAACGTCAGGTTAAATCAGTATAGTAGAATAAATCAGTTATCTACATCGGTAACAATGTCAGGTTACATCAGTATATTAGAATAAATCAGTTATCTACATCGGTAACAATGTCAGGTTAAATCAGTATAGTAGAATAAATCAGTTATCTACATCGGTAACAATGTCAGGTTAAATCAATATATTAGAATAAATCACTTATCTACATCGGTAACAACGTCAGGTTAAATCAGTATAGTAGAATAAATCAGTTATCTACATCGGTAACAATGTCAGGTTAAATCAGTATATTAGAATAAATCAGTTATCTACATTGGTAACAATGTCAGGTTAAATCAGTATCATGAACCGCGATAGTGATTCATAATAGGGTTCACTCAGAAATTTCACAAAAATTCTAATAGAACATACGGGCAAAAACCATCTTAGAAACCAGACTTCTTTTTGAAGCAACCCTCAAGACCTTCTGTCTCAATGGCTAAGGCTGCTAAAATACTGATATTAGCCAAAAAAAAGTTGATTGTTAGACAAAATTCAAAATTCACCTTTTTGTTCTTCATATTATTATTATTGTTGTTGTATCACAAGTATACATAAAACAACAACTATGATTATTTTATTCAAATATGGGCAAACCTATTAAAAAACTCCTGTGCAGGTCATAGGACTATTTTTATGTTGATTCTTAAAAGAGATGGAGATATTTTATCAGTTTTTCGTCGCTACTGGCCAAGTTTTCTTCGAAACCTACAGCAAAAACAGCAAAGTATACTTGCACTAAAATCTATGCACAGCTACTAAACAAACTCCTTCGAAGGTTGTATGGCTATTTTTAAGATGATTATTGAAAGTTGAGATTTCCACCCAAGTTCTCCTTCGCTACCAACATAAGCTTTTCGAAGCCATTCAAGCATCAGAGAAATGTAGAAGCCATTTACGCACCGTTATACTAGTCAGAAATGCTTCGTTTTATTAGAGTAAACAATGTATATATTTATAAAAGTGTCTCCAGCCTTATTATTATTTATTATAGTTTACAAGTCGCTACAGAAAAAACGCCTATGAATATTTTACTAAAATCTAGACAATAGTAATGAACGCAGTATTGAGTATGTCATAGGATAGTTTTAAAATTAATTCAAGCCCCTTTGTTTTATCGACTTGAATACTTTTTCTGAGTCCTTCACTTTCCGCCATTGAAAAAATCCAGTCTTTTACTAATGCGCATTAATTGGAAATCATTTGTACAACTTATAGCGCATTAATTGGAAACTGAGACGTTGAGGATCCGTCAGTTTTGGAGTTCGCTGTTCTTCATTGTTTCTCGAATTCGCTGTCGTACTTTGTCTTTACCTGGTTTTCTGGGACTATTTCAGTGAGTTTTCTAACAGTAGACAAGTACAATAGTAGATTTCTCTATTCTTGTGAGTGATGATTTATTTTACTGATTTTCGTACCTCGCTGAAACAATGAGTGTGTATTTAATTATTATTCATATTTTTTTTCACAAGCCTACATCAAAATCGGCTGGGTATTTTGTACAAAAACCTAGACATATATACTATATAAAACGTTGCGAAACTCCATAACCTATTTAAAAGGTTGATTATTTGTCATTGAAATTTGATTTACGTGGCTATTACTAAATAACATATGCGATTTTGTCGTGAGCGGCTTCCTTTGTACTTGGTGCTTGTTAAACACATGTTTAAACGAAACTTCAGGTACAAAACTACCTGGTTCAGTAAATAATGGTTGGGTGGGAAAAAAAATCCAATGCAGCGGTAAACTGTTGAAAAAAGTGTAACATCCAATCTAATGCATATGCACGTATGTAGCTTAAAACTTATTCTCCAGATTAACTCAGTATACTAAAATAAACCCATTATTTACACCGTCAGGTTAACTTAGTATAAGAGGCGTTTTTTAAGAACAAATATTACCAACACAAATGATATTCGTAATGATGTCCGACACACAAAAATATTGTATTCTGTCTGTAAACGGTTTTCAGCACGTTCCAAACATGAACGTTTTAAAACTCACCTACTTCGAGATGAAAGATCGTTTCATAGCTTAAAAACGATACTTGTAAACATTCTACCCTTGACCTTCAGTCCGTAGGGGGCTCCTAAAAGTGCGCGAACATTTGATTATACACACGAAATTACTAACAAAAATGCTAAGAGATTTTTATACTCAACATTTTAGAAAATTAATAAAAATCTAAAACCTCGCAAACTTGATATTGTATTAAATTACTAAATACAAAGTCAAGAATTTCGTAATCTATAGATTAGCTGATTAACAACAGTCTGAGAAATTCGTACACTTGATAAGTTTGAGTTATACGAACCTTTCTGAGTACCTTCTTCTGAATTTGTTTCAGTTATATTTACCTTCGTGGGTATCTAATTCCTAATTTGTTTGTTTTACACACACCTTTGTGTATATCTTCTTAATTTCTTTGTGTTACACCCACCTTTTACATATACGGCATTGTAAAAATAATATAGCTCACAATATCTTGATTCCAATAAAATGTTATAATTTTTATTTGTGAATTATTTTTCTCCTTCAAAAAGTGTAGTTTCATTCAAAACAAGAAAGAATCTGTGAATGCCTACAAAACGTGCACAATATTATTCTCTTGAAACGGTTTGTTTGTTTGTAATTATGCACAATGGGCTATCTGTGCTCTGTCCACCACGGGTATCGAAACCCAGTTTCTAGCGTTGTAAGTCCGCAGACATACCGCTGTGCCACTGGGGGGCCTCTTGAAACGGAAACACAGTAAATACAGTTTTAAGGGGTTCTGTGTTACGAAGTGGCATAGAGTAAATGATTTTGCATAATTTGATACCACTTGAAAACATACTTTTTATTTGTATAGACATGTGGGCATAACGCCCTTCTTTGGTTATATTAAAAACCAGAATGAACTAAAAGGTCGAATCTATTGTATAAAAAAATTCCACTAATATAAGAATACAGGCGATTAAGGTAAAAAAAATAAAACAGTGACTTAACAGGCGAATAAATAGAAATAACACATCACATTAGATTTGATAAATATTCTGAAAAATAAAAACGATATTAATACTAACATAGACAATTAAAGTTGTAATAAAATAAAGTTATTCATAATTCAACAATACAAGGTGCCAAATCAAACAATACAACCAGCTTTAAACATAAAGTTATACATAATTCAACAATACAAGGTGCTAAATCAAACAATACAACCGGCTTTAAACATAAAGTTATAGATAATTCAACAATACAAGGTACCAAATCAAACAATACAACTGGCGGCTTTAAACGCACACTGAAAGGATGTCAGTACGTTTTTATCTTAAATAAATTTCCGTTAGCCTCACTTGTTATATCTCAGCTAATGACGCCAGGTAAACCTAGTGAAACGTTGTGACGATATTAACGAAAGTTTTACTCTATACATACGATAAAAACTTGTCTGAAATCTATAACAGTATTTCAACTACATTACGTCTGCTATGGCCATTGCCGACGACCCGCTTTGCTCAATACCAGAGCTCATTAGGCCGGTTGGGACACAACAAATATAGCAATGGTCGGCACATTATGTTATAATTGTATGTTGGTTGTGATAATAGCTATTGTGGATATTCGGAGGGTAAATAAACACCGACAATAAAAATAAAATATATGGTATAAAATTTATTCTTTAAAATTGGCACCTACATAAACATATAATATCGCAATACTTTTTACTATGGATAGTTACGTCCTCGTTATCTAACTTGATTATTTATCCCCTCAAATCATCAGACTTGTCAGAGAGTCAAACATGAGTCAAAGACAAAATAAAATATAAATAATATTTTTTATAATCCTATGACAACAAAACCAATTTGTATATACTATATCATAGTCGAAATTAATTTCCTTGACTTTAAGTTTACTGTACTTGAAGTTAATGTTTTAAGTCGATTTATAAAGGATTATCTTAGATTACCATAATGTAGACACATGTAAAGATATCAATGGAATGAGAATTGTCGACAAAATGAATAGTTAATATCGTCTAATTCAACTAGGTCTACGAAAAACCCTTTTGCGTTTAATAAACGTATGCATATTAAATATGAAACCTAGATTCAGATGCAATCAAGTCTCGCTTTAGTAAAACATCAAATAGAAAGGAAATTATCCTTCATTATTTAATATAACATTTCATGGTTGAATTAAGATGTAAAATAACCATTATTTATCAACATTGTATCCCCAAAACAAATAATTGGCAGGTTTTAAATGGAACGTAAAATAAACTAAATTTACTATCTGCACCACACGGGCTAAATGATAGATTTTTAAACAGAACATCATATAACTTAGACTTACTATCTGCACTACTTCCCACACACTCTAAAGACAAGTTTTAAAAATATCTTAAAATAACCTAGATTTAATACTTGCATAATATCCCACACGATCTAATGACATGGTATTATCAGAATATAAAAGGAACAATTATTAATAAATTTAGTCTATCAATAATTATTAATTGGCAAGCTATAATAAACTAGCAAACAAATTCAGGCTTTTTAGCTTTAATCTACCACCTAACTCTCATTGAAAACTTCTAATTAAAACGTAAAATAATGTCTAAGTTGTTCTTTTTAACATTGCTTATAATATTTCGCACATAGAGTTACGTATTAATTAATAAAAGTAGAAGATCCAAGTCTGAAAACTAGAGAAAAAAATCAGTAAGTGTGTTTCATGGAGACGTACTTTATCGGATTGTAATCTATGATAAACCATTTTGATCCAATCCGTGTTATTTTTGACAAACCCAGAAATAACTTTTTTCAAGCTTAATAATCATAAAAATGTTATGATATTATAATGTATTTCATGTTTGAATATAATATCTTGGATTGGAGTATTATTACAGAAAATCTAAAGTTTTTATTTTGCTAGTATTTAAAGAAAAAATGTCAACTTTTATATTAAATTGTTTATTGCTGCCTAAGTAATTTGAAACATTACGATGATGAAATTTCTTATTCTTCCTTTTTTAATTGTTCGGACAAACAATAAAAAATCGACTTTCCTTTGATAATGCCATAAGGCACAAGGGCCACAAACAATATTGGCAAGAACATGTTTATTAGAAATGTTGAAAAATAGAAGAACATGGCGTTTGAGTTGGGAAGAGGAATCCAGCCTGACATCGTTGACAGCGCGATAGATAAAACCATCATCCAGATCTTCATAACTGGAGTAAAGTGTATTTTGGCTGCTTCCTTGTTGAAGGGGCTGTTCAGACCGATACCTAAGCCTAACAAGAAACCACAATAACGCATCATAGAGAAGAAGGGAGTGGTGTCCAGATGTACATATTCTTGTTTGACGCACCACTTCATGGCTCTGTCCACTGACCAGAGAGGGTTCAGTCCTAGTACCCATAGAGCACAGAAGGTGGACAAAGCACTGACAAATAAACTCGTTGTTACCATCACGTAATATCTCAGTTTTAGATCCTCCATCGAAAGCTTGGTCATCGTGAAGGCAAGGAAGCACCCTGAAAATGAAATAAAATTTTGTTCATTTTATATACAATAACTAAAAAATATTGAAATGTTGAAACCCTATTCTCAACTTTTAAATTCGTCGAAAGATCTTCAAATTTACTACCTATAAACAATTTTTGTATCATATTGAAGAAAATTTACACTTTCTTCTTACCTAACATTATTCCTAGAAGACACTGATGAGGGAAATGGGCCGCAATATAGACCCGGGAGAGGCTTACTACACACAAGAGGAAGGTGTAGATTGTCCAGCACACAGAAGTTACCACGTTCTTACTGAAAAATCAAAGCAAGGGTTGTTTCTTAAGTTCACTGTGAGAATTAGACCTTCCAGCACACAGGCGTTAATATACACCTGGGAAAAAATTAAGCACCCCCGTGTTTTTTTCAAGTGATTCAGATTCGACGTTCTTGTGACTGATTATAAATTACCATTCAATCTAAACGTGTTTATCAAATGAAATTATGCATTATTGGGCACAAGAAAACAAGATTATCACCGTAAAATAACAATTTTTAATTTACATATCATGACACCAAAATATGGACAGTTTTCACGCTTAAAATTATCTTTAATAAGTATTGTCAGTGAAA